AATACATAATCTCAATGTCTCATCTCTCTTTCTTACAAATGTGACTCTGACACCCCAAAGGGACACACTATGTCGGATGAATCCACTGTCCTGCAATTCAGTGAGTTGTTTCCTCAGTTCCTCCATCTCAACATGACTCATGCGGTAAGGAGCAACCGAAATAGGCTGGGTGTCTGGCTGAAGGTCTATGGTGAATTCGACTTCTCTGTCCACTGACAGTTCAGGTAGTTCATCCGGAAACATATCTGGAAAGTCTCAGACTACCAAAATCTCTTGAATACAAATTTCTTTATTAAGTTTGTCTAGTTAGAGAAAACAGCTGGGTTAAAGTACTTGATAATAAAAAAAATTACTATAAGGGAACCAATGTTAAACGATTTTATTAATTTGTAAATGACTCTTCATTAAGAGGGTTGAATATAACCTTCTTACTAAAATAATCTACAGTTGCGTGATACGCCGCTAGCCAATTCATTCCTAAAATTACATCAAAATCTCCCATGTCAATTTCTATTAGGTCCATACTCAACTTTCTATCCGCTATATCTATGACACAAGCTCTGTATACAGCCTCCCCCAGTAGTGTCCTACTCCTAAGAGTATACACAAATAATACATAATTAAGTTTCTCATGTAATAAATTTAATTTTGATGCAAAAAGATGTGAAATAAATGAATGTGATGTACCAGTATCAATCAAAACATGAGCAAGATAGTTATAGATAGTGTACATACCATGTACCATGTCCGAGTTAGCTTTTACATCCTGCTGAGTGAGATTGTAAGTCCTACCCTAGATAAGAGGTCTGGCTTGATTCTGGTTCCTCGGGCACTCCCTTACATAATGCTGGGTGCTACCACATATGCGGCAAGTATTGTTGAGACGATAGCAGAGTCAGTCCCTATGATCCTTACCACAGTATTGACAGGTTTTACAGCATCCTGCTATTGGAACTTGAAGCTTGAGTTATCGGCCTGAGGCTTTTGTTTTGTTGAACAAGGACAGTAGGTGTTGGTCTGCGGTGTGGAGCCGAGGGCCTGGGGTTCCCCACTGCTAGAGGAAAAATGCAAAGGTTCATATCTATTAACTGTGGATTGGCCTGTTGAATAAGTACTGAGCTTGAGCACATATAACTGTTGTCTGATCTCAGGATGAAGATCCTACTCGAACCTTCTAGCCTTCCTACCTTCATATATCATGCTCGCAGGAAAATACCAGCCAAACTCTAGGAACCTGCTAGCATATTCTGATACCGTCATATCCCTCTAGACCAAGTGTGTAAACTCCATCTCCTTCAGATATCGAAGATGCTCTAGAAGGTATTCTGTATGAAAAGTCATCAGAAACTGTTCCCAAGTGACTGAAACGGGTAGGGTGGCCTGGTTGAGTTGCCACCAGCAGTCTGCTTTTCCCACTAATATGTAGGTAGCAAAGATGACTTTCTGTTCGGGAATCACCCTAAGGGTCGTGAAGGCCTTCTCTGTCTTAACTAACCAGTACTTGACCTCTTCAAAGGAGGACCCGCCGGCAAAAGTAGATAGATTTAGTCTTTTATACATTTTAATGTACTCTGGGTCCATCATAGGAGGAGCTGGATCCCGTGGAAGAGAGACTAGACTGTGTTGAGGATGTACTGGATGGCGTTGCGGAGGTACTTGATGATACGGTGGAGGCACCGGATTGTACTATGGTGGTGTCGGGTGATGCAGTGGCTGGGGCACTAGGTCATACTGTGGTAATGTCGGGTGGTACTTTAGAGGAGCAGAGTCATATCGGGGTGGCTCGAGATCCTCTCGCTACAGGGGTGGCTCAACCTGTGGCAACAGGAAAGGGTCAGGTAACTCCCTTCTTTCCTCCCGGGCCTGCTGGGCAGCAATGAGCCTCTCCATCATCTCAAATAACCGGCCAACATCCTTCATAAGCAAACCCTCCCAGACTGCTCGGTTTAGTGGGGGTTTTCCTCTCCTCATCTATCTATACCTGTATTTCACAAGGAATGGTTGAGTGATAATTCATTATTTTTTGTGTTTCTTAAGGATTTTGTGTAAGGAATGGGTCTGAGGAACACAGCTCTGATACTAACTGTAACGACCCTGAAAATCCAAAGGAAATAAATAATAACCTAAGTACGGAAGCGAAATAATTAGTTAGGGTTTACATTCCTTACACAATAACTTAAAGTACTAGTGCTACGGGGATTACCTTTTCGAAGGAAAAATAAAAAATTACGAAAATAAAATAAAATAAAATTAGCATCCTACTTGTAGCCCTCTTGTGGATCGGGCTCCGGATCCTGGTCCTCTTGATCTAAAATTGTTAAATAAGGAATGAGTTGTACTAGTTCAGTAAGAATATCACGCTACTACCGACACAGAAATGAAGGTTGGTAGAAAAATTAAAAACAACTAATGGAGCACTTAATTAAGCAAATTCATTTATTAAAAATAAATTATTTACCGTCCACTTACCGTAGCGAGATTTACAAAAAAAAACGTATAGAGACAATAGTTTAACACTTATCATAATTTCATATTCAATCGATAATATGCACATATTATAATTTCATGTTCAATTAATCAAAACAACAATTGTCTCTTTTCATCAGCCTACTGTTATCTATGAGGGTCCATATAGATGTCCCCATTACGCATGAGCCCTTTCTTTTAACATTCTCAATTAACGGGCCGTCTCCATACCCCGTCCGGTATGAGCGTCAAATTACTAAACCTTAATATCTCGTCCGGTATGAGGGTGAAACGGGCTGTTTCCATACCTCGTTCGGTATGAGTGCCAAATTATCAAGTCTCGATACCCTGTCCAGTATGAGATAATGTTCATGGTAGGGTTCCCAATGAACTCGATCCATCCACCATCTTTCAGGATATCTAGTAAGGCTGTCGTTTCATCCATTCACTTAATCACACAATTTTTCGTTTATCTTTAACCTCTAGCTTCCCAATTCAATCATAACCATACAAAATAAACAATCCATGCATTTAAAGCTATAAAATCGATCAATCATATACTATCATACATTCAAACTATAAAATCAATCAACAGAATCAACAATGAATAATTTTCGGTTCTAGCTCTATTAGTAACTCGTAATTAATTATGGATATTTTCTAAATTGTATAAAATACCGTATTATTGTTAATTAGACTTCAATTCTATAACAGGGAATAGGGTGAGAGATTTTTACTCAATTTGATGTCCAAAAAGTTAAGCTGTTGACTGCGCCTACTGGCGATCCCCGGGTTCCCTGAATTTTTTTTCGGGGATTAAAACACGCTGTAAATACCTACAAATATCCCAAAAAATCTAAAAACAGTGTCAGGACCCCTTTTTGGCCAATTTCAGAATTCTGGCACGGTGGGTCCACCGTTTTCCGGCAACAGCCGGCGGCGGTCTACCTTAGGTTGACTACTTTCGACCAGTTTTGCATCAATCCATGCGAGAAAATACGTTAAAGGATCTCGGTTGGCCCTAAAAAAATAAAAAATTGAAACTCATCGGCAGCGGGGCTCTTTGATACAGTTGCTCCACTTGTTCATTTTGCAGTTGGATGTTTTGCTCCGGT